AAATGTGAAATGAGTTTCCGTGCAAAAAAAGAGAAAATATTTTATTGATTTTTATATCATAAAAATGAACCAAATAAGGACCTCTTTTGGATAACTTGAAAATATTTTATTTGAGACAAATTAAATGTACGCTAATTCTTTTTATTTAATTGATTTTTTATCACAAAAACACAAAAGCATTACGGTCTATAAAATTAATTTTTTTTAAAAAAAACTTAAAAACAATTATGAAAAAAGAGCAGATAAAAAGAAAAATAGTAAAAAAAAAGAGAGTGGCATTGGTGACCATTTCCAAAATTATATATAGGGGGGCAGCTAGGAGAGCTATATATTCATCTATCATGACTTGAAAAATATTTTAGTCTATAATGACACTGGCATAGAAATACTAAAATTATGAGAGACAATGATGAAAGTTTTGCAAGAAAAATAACATTTCACATTTAATAAACTTGGTATAGTATCATGTATGTGTGAGGCATGCTTGGCATCCAATTCATTGCATGTCATGTAAATATAATGTTGTCTCCTCCAACATCCCATGATCCCATCATCCTTACACCCCACCCCCNCCCCTCCTGCAATAAAATTTACACTTTTACTTATACTCCGTATCAATCATATTTTTTTTATTTGTCAGTAATTTTTTTTAAAATAAATAGAATAAATTGTGGTCGGAGTTTGTCTGAGATGAATTTTCACTCCGGCTCAAAATAATTGATCTTTACATTTGATTGCACTTTTGAAAAAAATATACTGTATTTCGTGTTTAATAATAACGTAAGTTTAATATCTTTGAATTTAACTTATTAAAATATAATTTTGATACAGAACATATCAAATTGTTAATTATTTTAAAATTTGTTTTTGGTACAAAGTTATTTTTAAACTATATTCGGACTTCATGCATGAGAGTTCGTTTTTTTATTCTTACGTATTAGTCCGTATAATTAATTAGTACGCAGTTCGCACTTTAATTTGGTACTATTTCAAGGAAAAACGGTACAATATGAATCGTGTAGATAAGGAGTATTAATTTCAGTATTAAGAAAATTAAGTAAATAAACTCGAAAGTAATAAAAATTACTCCCTATATATATAGTTAATGTATTTAGAAAATACTCCCTCCGTCCCATGAAACATGAGACTTTTGCTTTTTAGGAGGGATTTAAGGAGAGTGTATTTTGGTATTGAATTTCCAAAAATGTCCTTTGATGTGATGGGTAAAAGTATGATTTGATGGATAGATTATTAGTAAAAAGGTATGATGTGATAGTTAGGGTATGAAAAAGTAAGGGGTAAAAGTGACTTTTTAATATAAATAAGAAGTGTTTTGTGGGACGGATAAAAAAAGAAAGGAGAAAGGTTTCATGGGACGGAGGGAGTAATAAACATCGCAAAATGATATACTCCGTACATCTCTATTATGCATTCCCGATATATAACTTTTGTTTGTTTACATGTTTTAATTGATTATTCGATAACATAAATATTTTTATCACTTCTTATTTAGTACAGATCGAGCAGAACTATTGATGTAATCTTTAAATATGTAAGTTAGATTTTTTAAATTCAAAATCTTTTAAAGAACTTGATTTTGCATGTTATTCAAATAAGTTAAATTAAGTATTTTAGAACGGATGGAGTATGAATCACAATTTCTTTATGGTGTATTTGGGAACTTGACTTTAGATTTCAAATATAGATTTGATCTAATTTACTTGTTTGGAGACTCAAAAAATTTGGATTTAGATTTAGATTTCGACCAAATTCTGATCTTCTAATTCAAAATTAACTCAACTACAAACTCACACCTCTTGTATGTCATTTACAAATTCAAGCCCATTTTTCTTTAATTTATAACTTGTAATTAAAGAATAATCTTTATACTTATACAACAAAAATTCTATACATATCAACGTGCTTCCACTACCGTCTTTGCTGACTTCAAAATCGTATTCTAAAATTAAAATTATTTGACTTTCCGAACAACATTCAAAATTTGAAATTATGAGATTTCAAATATTGAAATTGAAATATAAGATTTCAAATGAATTCTAACTCTCAAACACTAATAAATCACGGATTCACAACATTCCTTCTTTCAATTGAAATTAGCATTTTTTTAAAATCCATAAATAGAAATTGACAATCTTCTTTTAGTAGAAGTGAATTATATTCATACTCGCAAAATAAAGATTGTGTGTGTTTGTGTCAATGTTTGTACATGTATGTGAAAAGATGGAAAAACGGTGAAGGATATTATAAGAGTGTATGACTTCGTTTGGAAATACCCCAAGCAATTGTTTTCAATCGGAACTTTTTAACGAGAAAGCACAACGTTTCCGTCAAAATAACACTCTCAAAACGTTAAAAATAAGGGTGAAAGTTGTTGCAGATGCCAGATGGCAATGGGAAAAGAGTAAAAGGAAGAGCAAATCAAAGCACAATCCTCTAGAAAGTGAAGATTTGGAGTCACCAAATTGATAATCACATGCATGCAACAATCTACTCCACATCATCATATCTCTTATTGTTCTCACAAAAGTAGAACCCCTTTTTGAATCTGCTTCCCCTTGTTCCCAAAATTTGATTTGTTTGGGTTGGTAAAAGCATATATCTGCCGAGCATATATATATTTATATACTTACACACTATATAGCACTGGTTTCTTATGTTTATGCAATTAGATACTCCTTACAAATGCATTAAAAAAAACACCAAGAAAAAAACAATTTGTTCATTATTTTTAATATTATAAACTCCATTACAATGTATTATTTCTCCCTAGATATTTTTCTAAATCTACTAATTAAATATAAAGCGTCAATATAATACTTCCACGAGAGTTCGAACCTATGACTTTTCATTTAAAAGAGCCACAATAATATCATTTGACCACGAGACATTTTTCTTATTAGTGGAGATGTATTTTTATCTCATTTTAAAATAATAAAAAAAACAATTAATTCAATCCTCAACCATTTCATTGTATAGGTTTGATTCCCATGCTATAAAAAAATCAAGAATTTAAACATGCCTGGTAGCCATGATATATAGCAGTCACTTTTAAATGTATAAATAAATAATATTTACACCATATCTAACACAATATATTCTTGATTGGCTGATTTTTTTATATATACAATAATAATAACAATAGGGAACCTAGTACGATATTATTCAATAAATCGATTGGTACCATAGATGGGGTATCTATATACATTATATACTTCACGAATATTTATGCCATACATCCCCATGTGCTATTTTCATCATCCAACAATATTTTTAATTTTTTATACTCTGTTCCTCCCTCCCACTATAATTTTCCAAATAACCTTTTTAGTCGAACATAATACGGAGTAATTTATTTTTTACGGCTTATATGTATTATTATTTTTTTATTTATGGAAAATGATTTATACTCCGTAATATGTAAATCTTAAAAAATTATCTTCTCATTACGATATTTGACTGAAGTTATTTTCAAATCATTTTATATGAAAAATTATTTGAAATTAAAAAAATTAAAAATACATATTTAAAAACTATATTAAAAGATCTACAAAAGTTGTAGTGACATGACTATATAATTTTATGAAATGAGAAACAAAAATAGACCGACTAAGTCAATAAACTATGACTTTATAAATAATGAATGAGAAAATAATTTTTAGACGGAATAAGTACCATTCTATGAAAAAAAAAACTTTCAAAAAAAGTAAAAATATCATTGATTTCTTTAAAAAAAAGTACAATATTATTAATTTTTGATGAAAATTGTTAATTCAAGAAAATTTCAATGGTAAGGCAGAGTATACTTATTAAAGTATTTTAAGAAATGATCCTAAATAGAAGTAAAACATAAAAAAATTATCAAAATAAGAACTTCATATTTTTTATTTCTAAAATAGGAGTTTGTATTATGGTATTATGACACTATATATAAAGATTTCATAATATTTTCTGGTAATGTATATGCATGGTTATGATTGACACTGTAAATGCATTTTAACTCATATTTTGGAAAAAAAAATATGAAACTCCTATTTTAGTTTTTTTCATAATACTTTCTTCCTACTTTACTCTTTTTTCCAAGTATTTTTTGTAAATTGACTTATGGAGAGTATTAGAGATGATGTCATTTAGGGATATTCATAAAAAGTTCAGGGATAGATTTGTAAATGATTAGATAAAAAAAGAAAATAAAAACATGCTTAAAAATAAGTATGTAAAACCTACACATTTTTTATTTATAAATCAATTTATAAACACATAGAAACACTCATCCATGGTGTTTCTTAATGGGGAGAAAAAGTTAAATAAATAGCAAAAAAATAGGTTAGCAGTAATAGAGTAAATAGAGAAAAAAAGTACTCGTATTGTTTTAAATTTACTGATTTACATATATAATATATACTCCGTATATCAAAAATAAAACACACATATCTTATTGACAATACCACAGTGTCATGTCACAAAATTGTGCATTAAATGGAGGGGAACAATGGTACGTGAAACAAATGTGACCCCCATTGGGGTTTTATTATATACCCCACACCACAGACAAACCACCCCTTCAATTAGCTCGCTGCTTAGCTTCTTCTCCCCTCCCCCTTTCAATTACACTATTATTATTATTATTATTATTATTATTATTATTATATATACGTACCACGTCCATTCCATTTTTTTTAAT